AACTTGTGTGTGTGTGTATATATATATATATATATATATATATATATGGGTTGAACGACTACATAATTTTTAAACTCGACATTAACATAATAAAACTCGAGTAGAACTCGAGTAGTTGATGATGTCACAGGATCTCAAGATGAGAAAATAAATAAAAAATAAAACCGCAAAAAAAACGTAATTTATTATTTACAAAAAAAAGACCAACAAAACATTGGGAGCGTATATTATGCTCCTACCATTTATCATACTGCAAATAAGTCACAGGAAAACCAAAACGTTTAGTTATTATTATCAAGCTGCAAAACTGAAAGAAACATGCAGCACGTCAAAAACGAAACTAAAAACAGTGGGGTGGTCGACCACCCCGCACCACCACCAGCTGTGGTGCGCATTAGGTTTAATTTTAGAGATTTTTGTTTTCTTTTTGTTTATGAAACGACGTCAGAGGAAGCTGGTTCTGGTTCGGTCATTGGACCTGGTGTTACACCATATTCTGTGACCTGCAACAGTGCATGCAACACCATCCCCTACGGTTACAATATACAGTGGTCACAGAATATGGTGTAACACCGGTTCGCAACGAGCTCCAAACAGTCAGGAAGTTGATTCATTTTCTGTTTCCTTACGGTAGTTGAACCAGAAGATTAATCTTTAGTGAAATATTTCCAGACAGTTGATGCGTTTCTACCTGTTTGTCAAGACTGTGTCTGCTCCACTCAGTCCATCTGCTGGGAGGAATCCATTTAGTAGCTTTTACTAGTAACCTGATGCGGATCATGTGACACGTGACGCAATGACGTCACTGCGAATACTCAACGTGAAATTTAAAAACTCGATAGATGTTCTAGGAATCGACATGTTAAAGCCCTACATATACATATATATATATATATATATATATATGTATATGTATATATATATATATATATACATACATACATATCTCTTATATATATATCTCTCTACAAGAGAGCTGTCTCTCTTGTAAATGAGTCCTCGAGGCTCAATGGGATTTACCTGTCTAAATAAAGGTTGATTGATATATATACATATATATATATATATATATACATATATATAATTATATAATAATTATAATAATTATAACTGACACCCTGTGATGGACTTGTGACCTGTCCAGGGTGCACCCCACCCCTCGCACAGTGATTGCCAGAAATGGGCCCCCGCGACCCAAAATGGAAGAAGCGGGTAAAAGATAATGGCTGGA